TCCTCTCTAACGTGCGAGTGACAGAACGACAGTTTACAGCCGAAAGTGTATACGCCAAACATTTTAAAAATTTTAAAGGGTAGAATACTTCTGAAATGCTAAATCTAATCGTGAAAAGCTCTGAATAATTACACTAATAAATAAGAAGCAGCGCTACCCTATTTGAGGTCTCTTATAACCCCCAAACCACATCTTCCTTATCTTGCGGTAACATGATTTCCGTGATCAGCACTCCCACCCAGTAAGGTTTGAGCAAGATCCAAACTTGCTGCATATTTTGCGTAGCCCTATCTTGAGCTTTAGTATAGGTGATAATGTGAGAGTACAGCCAACGTTCTCACCATATCTCCACCTAAACCGTTACGTTAGAAAGAGAAAAAAAATTTCATGAAATGAGAGTATGGATTCTTTCGAGCAAAAGTGCAAAACTCATCAATACCTTATTTAGAACCCGATAATCAATTTCTTCATAGATATGAGTATTAGTAGGATGTTAGATATATAGAAACAGACATCGACAACAAATACAGCAACTCACCCTTTCCTCCTGAGATGATAGCACCCGCATGACCCATTCGTCGCCCAGGTGGAGCTGTAAGTCCTGCAATGAACGAAACCACGGGTTTATTGATGCCTCTTTTTACATTGTCCTTGATAAACTGAGCTGCTTGCTCTTCAGCCGTTCCTCCAATCTCACCAATAAGGATCACACCTCAAATTAAGCAATAAGGTGTTATATGTTCGTGGAACTAAGCAGACCAAACAAACCTCTACAGTTAGGGTCGCCGAAAAACACATCGAGACAATCAATGAAGTTCGTTCCATTGAATGGATCGCCTCCAATCCCAACGACTAGGGTTTGTCCAAGGCCAGTTTCGGTCGTTTGCTGCACAGCTTCATACGTGAGTGTGCCCGATCGTGATACAACACCTAAACAAGCGTTTTTCCTTCTTTACTGTCAGAATGTGATGTGTTCCAAATGCAAATTATATTTAGACAGGCGTCCACAAATAAAGGTAAAATAGGCTTTTTCTATTTTATAAATAGTTTTGGAAAGATGTTAGTAACTTATAATAACTCAAGAGGGTACTTTTTCGCTTTTCTTGCGACACAAAATAATTGCGCCTTTCAAATATTTGGAATGTATTACATAGAGTATATCACCAAAAAGCCACTATACACAAGCCCACTACGATACTCTACTTAAACAAAACCCTTTGTTTTATAGTATTTCTGCAAAAGGCACCATACCGTAACGCGTGATACTAGCGGCGCGGTTGTGTTGCGGTTGTCAAAGAATTGCAATAACCGATCGAGAGGATGATAAACCTACGCACCTATGCATCCTTTCCTGTGAATTTTTCCGGGCATGATGCCAATTTTGCATTGGTCTGAAGCGATAATTCCTGGACAGTTGGGACCAACCAGACGTGACTTATCTAAACGTTTCGGTAGAATGAACTGGGTCATAGTCATATTTAAATTTCAACTCTTTTTACTTTGTTTCACAAGCCTATTCTTAACGCGAACCATATCCTGCTGCGGAATTCCTTCAGTGATGCAGACAATGAGACCAATCTGCAAAACTTGGAATATGTAAAAAGCAGAAACAAAATGGAAGTTCCTAGAAAACTCCCACCTCAGAGTCCATGGCTTCTTCAATTGCACCAGCTGCCACTTGATATGGAACATAGATGACAGTGGCGTCGCAACCCGTTGCAGCCTTTGCTTCAGCGACTGATTTGAATACTGGCAACCCAAGATGTTTCGTCCCCGCCTGGACTAGATTACAGAGATCAGAAACAAAGTCCCAAGACCCATCCGTAAAAGACTTTCAAAAAATAACCTTCTTTGGCGAAACTCCTCCGATCACTTGCGTTCCATAATCAATCATTTGTTGTCCATGGAAAGTGGCCTGCTTTCCAGTAAATCCCTAAATAACTACG